TTGTTGTATGGTCTGGTGGAACCGCCCATTATATCATAGCAGAAGATATGCTAGACACTGGCAGATGACATTTGTCTTTACTCGGGAAGCTCTGACATCATCTGTGACCAACTGCAAAACCAATCTGAAATGCCTTTATGAAGATAAAGACATCACTGCTCTTTTCTTTAAGTTAAATAAATAGTTTAAAAAATAAGAAAAAAAAAAAGATGCCTGGCAACTTTTGAGAATAATGACTGCTGCCTTGCCTCTGAAAGAATTCTTATCTTCCAAAGGACAGTCTCCTTGACCAATGCCTCAAGCAACATTTGTGGTCTTCAAGTTTGCAACCATAGGCATTTTCTTCATATCTAAGGCAGTTAGCAGTATATATAACGTAGCATCAGATAAGATCAATGACCTGTACAGAAGTACTGGCAGTCAGCTATCTTGTCATCACTTACAATGCTTTGCCTTGTCCTGGCACTTAGTGTGTCTAACCTGATAGATATGCCATCTCTCTTGAAAGAATCAGAACTTGAATGTTGCACTCAGTTATCACTAATATCGAGAACTCAGCTATTGAATACATCCTAAAATCAAAGACATTGTTATTTATTTTTTCATTTTCCTTGCATTCTGAATTTGGAGGCCCCTGCTGTTTGTTCTTTCTTTGCAATTGCAACAAACCAGTAAATGCTGCAGTTAAACATTTCTGTTCAAGTCCACTAGTGCAGACTTTACATCTGCCTGTTCTTTAAAACAACTTGATGACTGCATCCATGTATTTAAAAAAAAAAAAAAGAAAGAAAATATACAGCTTAGTCAACAATAATCCCTTGGACCACTAGCACCCAACAGTTCGAGCTTTTTCCATTGGATCATTTACAGGGTGGAAATCTACAAGTTTCCATCATGATTTGTAAGATCTTAGAATACCGAAAATCCATTAACAGAGGCAAACAAAGGCGAACTCACAGCTTTCACAGGGAGGAGAATGATCTAACTTTCCAGCAAGCAAATGTTGCTTTTTGCTTCAAGTTTCTGTAGCTAAGTCCAACTAGCATCTCCAAAATATCATTTGACATCTTTCTGGGAAAGACTGAGCCCTAGAGAGACAGATAACTGCAAAAACTTTCAGAAACAGATCTAAAGGGCAAATGGAGTCCAACAAAGCCATGGTTGTACTCATAACAACAACAAAGCAGTAAGGAATACTGCAGGAAAAAAAATTAAAGTGGTAAAGAAGTGTACATAACCTGGGGAATGACTGCATTTTTGCACTTGTTTATTTCAAGAACTTTATTAAATGCACTGCAGCTTTTGATTATTACGCCCCTTAAAATTGCACGTATTATTCAACTAGGTGTTGTACAGGTAAGGCACATTTTCTCTTAGTAGATAGAAATAGAACACAGTTATATGACCATAAGGAAAGTCACTTTATCTCTGAAATTAATCACTTAAAGCGCTGATCTCCTAGTTTACAGTTTTCAATTACTCTATTATTTATCAAGGATGGGAGTGGAACAAAATTCAGAAGCTGTCAGAATGCTGCTGTCAGAAGAGCAGAACAAAGCTATACATCTGGTTCTGAGTGGCAACACTGGTACGCCTCAAATCTTTTGTAACATTCATACATAAGGTATCCAATGGAAAGATCTAGGTTGCCGAGATATACACGAAAGAAGGAATCTTAGGTTGTACCTTAAGAAACAGTTGAACTAGCACCTGAGAAGAATCCATACCAAAAAAGTTGTGATTTTTAACATTAAGGATAAAAAGCAAGACTGCTTGATTTGACAGAAGCGAAACAATACTCAAAAAGAGAACAAAGGGGGAACTGATTTATTGAAGGGAGTAGCTGTTAAACAGCAGATAACAGACTCTTTTATCTTTCAAGCCTGTGCCACTTTAATGTCCAGGTTCACAACAGGCACAGTAGTAATGCTAGAGACATAAGAACTCATTCTGGGATGGAAGTACATACTGTGGACAATACATTACTTTTCATACAGATGGAAGTAAATGAGGACTGTTCACATTCTTTACTTCTGTGAGACAAAGAGGTGAGCAACATGAGCAACTGGAAGTAGGTTCACCAAAGGCGCTGAGTGACTTTGAGTTGCAGTAAACTTTGCACTTCTGGTTCCTGTGATGTTTCGTACCATTGCCTTTAAGAGCTGGCTGAGTGCTTCCTACTTCTCTCCACATCTCCCAGCATCTTTTTCACTATCTGTAGGACCTTTCATTCCTGAGCTAGCTTTGCTCCTTACCAAGCAAATTAGAGTCTCTGTACAATGGCTTGCCAGTAAAGGTAAGCTCAGAAAGAGCTCCTACAAAAGCAACCTGTTTTCAATACTACTTCAGAGAGGATCATATATGGGAAGAACAAAATCATTGTCTTTACACTTACCAGAGTAAAGCAAAAAGCCACAGACTTAACCATACCTATAGACAATGCCACACTCTTACTTGTAGAGTTACGTGACCAGAATGGAGTGGCAGTATTTGAACAAGTGTGTGGGAGGGAAGGTCCCCCACACCCCTTCTACCAAGACCTCACCAAGATTGAAAAACTTCACTAACTGATCAGTGTAGACATGGTAGAAAAGCATTTCAGGAGGAAAGTATGCTTTGTGTCATGCGCAATCCATTTTTATTCTGATAAACTCTGATTTCTTCTATAAGACATGCAGCAGGAACTGAATTTTTATTTCTTTAGGCAGTAACTTAAAACAGCTATGCCTTGTTGCTTTAAGGTCTGTACAGCAACTAAAAACCTTACTCTCATTTATTGCTTACTCAGGTCAATGTTACAACTCTTGCCTTTGCCAGGTATGTCTTTATGGATGTATGTATTTTTAAAGTTTTGAGAATGAAGATAAAAGTAATCATCACTCACTATACTTTTAAAATTATTAAATAAAAACTTCTCTATTAACTACTTTCTATACACAACAGTCAGAACAAAAGGTAAGGCTACAGACTACTGGCAGCAAGAAGAAACTCATGTGAAGTTAGTTCTGCAATGGCCATTATAAATTCTGTACAAAGTATGAAGATAGAGCACATGCAAAGATAGAGCTAATGCTTTATCATGACAAGGCCTCCCACTGGAAGACAAATCAACTTTAAGTAGTGTATGATCATCAAATCTATTGATTTAAACAAACAAGTACCAACAAGCTGCTATTTATAGTAAAGCTAAAATTATGCGTTAACAAAATGACAGTATTATCGAGATGTCAGAAGGTATTAATATCTCATCAGCCCTTTGTGTGAAAGTGTCTTGCAGTTCTTATTAAAAACAGGTATTCACATTTTGAGGCTGACTTAGCAAAATGAGCACTAAACAGGAGTTGGTGGGGGAAGCCAGCTTATGAGAAGCTACTACATTTTGGAAGCATCTGTTTTGTCTTGTCATAATAGGGCAACAGCGGGGAAAATGTTTTCATTTTGCACATAACTATTCAACTACATACACATTTGGAATCTTTATGCCTTTTGCAAGTTACTCTACAAACATGAGAAATCACAGAAGATACCAGATCATAAGGACAGACACATCTGCTCATAGAATTAGTAACATGCTCATTCCTTTCCTAACTCATACGGTATCTAACTTAAAGTGCTATTCACAGAACACAGGCTACAGTAATGAGAAAAACCTCTTCACAGAACAAACACTCATTGCAGACAGTTGTAAGAATTGGCCTATAAAGAATATGAAGCAAGTAGTAAGTGTAACATTTAATAACAACATGCTTATGCATTCATTATGCCATTATACATGCAAAATATTAAATTCTTTCCGTCATACATAGACTAGCCAAAAGTGTGACCAATGTTATTTAGGAAAAAAGGAGAATGAGACTGTGACTGAAATAAAGCTAGTCCTGAATGCCAAAAATAAAATTCTTGAGTGAAGGTCAAAAACAAAATTAAAACTGTTATTAAGAAAACACCTCAAGGATACTACAACTTCTGCGGAGCCAGTCATCAGAAAGCTAGCACATTTAAAATTGTTATAATTCAAAATTGCTTTTGAAGTGTATAATTGGAATCAAGAGTTTCTCTGCAATTATTTATGAAGAGAAAGTTTTAAGTACTCTGATATTTACATTTGGCACTTAGTACTTACATAAGCAATTGACTTTTCAACAATGCTGAACAGCCATTAGATTCTAACTTAATTAACGTCTCCCTTATTTCACCTCAAGGTTTAATATAAATTGCACTGCACACCAATGACATACAAAAGTGAAATTGCTCTAACACTTAAATGAAGATGACTAAGTTGTCATTCTAAAGCAATTTTTTTATGGCATCCACCAACATATAATACAACATAAGTATTTCTTGAAACATGCATATATGTTCACATGAAAGTGCCCTTTCTTAACTATTAAAAATATATCAGATTGATCTAGTATGTTATGGGGAGAAAATGTCCAGGTAAGTCTTATCACACACAAAAGGGAAAAAAGAGTCCGGAAAACAAGTAAAACTTACTCTTCTGTTATAGCTTCATGATTTGTTAAGCCAAAGTTTGGCAAGGGATCTTCAATCTTGGGAGTCTGCGGAACGTTTAAAGCTGGAGTGGTCTTGGAAGCAAGAAGTGCTCTTTTTTCATCTTTCTCAAGTGCTTTTCTTTTCCCACCATTCTGAAAATATTCTCGGCATACACTGAAAAGACAAAAAGAAAAATTCCCCAGAAAAATAGAATGCTATTTTTGGTTACTACTATAGATAAGACACAAGACAGAGGTTTAAGAGATGCAAGTGCTATCAGCTTTTAAACAAATCTGGGGTTTACTGCAACTTTGGTAAATCATAGAATTCTAGAATGGTTTGGGTTGGAAGGGACCTCGAAGACCATCTAGTTCCAACCCCCCCTGCCATGGGCAGGGACACCCTCCACCAGACCAGGTTGCCTTTGGGCGTGGCGCCCTTGCGGGGGGGGGCCAGCCACAACCTCTCTGGGCAACCTGTTCCAGTGCCTCGCCACCCTCACAGTGAAGAATTTCTTCCTAACATCTAATCTAAATCGACCCTCTTTCAGTTTAAATGAGCTTTAGGAAAGATGCAATACACCCAAAGACATAGCTGAAGTCGAGTGGTGTTTTATTTCCAAAAGTTAGGCCATAAGTCACAGCTGAGTAAACAGATTCAAAATAGTTTTATCTGGATAGACTTCTAAAGCAAGACAGCAGAAGTCTTGTCAGAATATCACCAGAGGGTAAACTGGAGGTGTGACCTGAGCAATACAGTTCTTCACTAAGTGCATAAGTAACTAAGAGTTATTAACTAGCAATACAGTTCTTCACTAAGTAACTAAGAGTTATTAACTAGCTCCTCATAAATGCAGGGGCTTTTGAAACATCTGTGTCTTGCAAGGCACGTAATGTGGGGGAAAAGAAACACAATCAGGCTTATGGGCTGACTTACATACACCAGTTGTTAATTTTAATTGAGTTTGCCCAAGGTGTTTTCAGATTTTAAGTAACACATCTGCGGTAGCTGTATTACTGTGGAAAACTTACTTTAGCTTTCAATTTTTTTCCCATACTTAATTACTTTGCTAATAGGAACCAGAAAAAAATAATCTAGTCATACTTGAACAGAAATGTTAACCAGTGTAAAGGAATGAATGTTATCAAAAAAGTTAAATTGCACCTGCATACTTCAACCAGTAGTCAGCATTAGCGTACGAGAAGCAACCATTATGTTAGAGAATAACTGAATTTTGTCCACAAAACAGAACTAGAATTGGAAACAATTTGTTGCTGTGAAATTAAAAAGCCTGACTCACCCTGCACAAAGCAATATTTTTAATTAGATGCGCCAGCCAAGTATTTGCATGGAAAGTTTAACAAAAATAGTACTTGTTTGAATGATGTTTTCATAACAACCCATTTTTATGATACTTTCTTGAAACTCACTCAATTTTCCTCTAACAAAGCTGCAGAGGTTTGAAGGAAACATTCCAGAAAACATGAATCAAGTATAGTTTAATAACACCTTATACAAGCCAGGATCAAGACAACATACCACCACAGTATTTTACACCACAGATTCAGGAAAGGACGTGTTGGTATAATGCTGCATTTAAATCACAGAGAAAAGGACTTGGAACACACAGGCCTTATCTAAGGGTTGGTGATATAGGCACCAAATATATCCAGTCTCTCCACCATATAAGATGTGAAGGGAAAAACAAGTTATTAGAGTTGAGTTTCTTAGAGGGAAACACACACAATTAAACAGGTACAGATAGGAGTCACTTTACTCCAAAGCTGGTAGGAAATGACCACCTTGAATCAGTAAATGCATTTACAGTAGCATATTATGTCCAGGTTACTAATTCTTGCTGTGAGGGAGTGTGGTGGGTTGACCCTGGCTGGGGGCCAGGTGCCCACCAGAGCTGCTCTATCACTGCCCTCCTTCACTAGACAGGGGAGAAAAAGTACACCGAAAAGCTTATGGGTCGAGATAAGGACAGGGAGAGATCACTCACTAATTATCATCACAAGCAAAACAGACTGAACTTAGAGAGGGAATTCATCTAATTTATTACTAAGCAAAACAGAGTAGAGGAATGAGAGATAAAAATCAAACCTTAAAACACCTCCCCCCACCCATCCCATTTTCCCGGGCTCAACTTCACTCCTGGCTTCA